CGTGTTCTGTTCTGTTCTGTGTTGTGTTCTGTGTTCTGTTCTGTTCTGTTCTGTGTTGTGTTCTGTGTTGTGTTGTGTTGCGTTGTGTTCTATTCTGTTCTGTGTTCTGTTCTGTTCTGTGTTCTGTTCTGTGTTGTGTTGCGTTGTGTTCTGTTCTGTGTTGTGTTCTGTGGTGTGTTCTGTGCTGTGTTGCGTTGTGTTCAGTCCTGTGCTCCAGGCCAGCACGGGCTGCCCCCTCGAACCCCTGGTTATCCGATGTTCTTCGTGAGCATCGGACCAAACTCAGGGTGTGTGTATGAGTGTGTGTGTGTGTGAGTATGAGTGTGTGTGTGTGTGTGACAGTGTGTGTGTGTGTGTGAGTGTGAGTGTGTGTGTGTGTGTGTGTGTGTGTGTGTGTGTCAGACAACATTCAGCTGATTTCATATCAAACATCAGACGCATTACAGACAGATATCGAGTGTGTTGTGCTCCGCATGGTAATACCACCAGACTCAATCATTACTCCATTGATGTACCATAGTATTTACATGCAACTCCAGAGTACTGTTATTTGCTGTCATCGTGAGTTATTGCGGTCATTGTAGAAATGCAAGTCAAGTCAGTTTTATTTGTACTGCACTTTTAGATTAGATTAGATTCAACTTTATTGTCACTGTGCAGAGTACAAGAACAGAGCCAATGAAATGCAGTTAGCATCTAACCAGAAGTGCAAATAACAAAATATATAAATAAATATAGAATATGTGTATATACATTAAGCTTTATGACATATAGTGCAAGTTATGAGGTAGAAGGGCAGAGACCAGCTCAATGCAAATGACTGTGCATACAACATAGGGTGCAAAAGAAGGAGAAACAGAAGGTGCATTATACAGTGAGGTATGTAAATAGCATATGTTTATATATGGCCAATGATCATAACAGTGCGATGGCATCCGGAGGTAGAAATGTGCAAAATAACAGAGGGAATAATAAGAACATTGTGAGTGACAGGTTATTGTACAGTGCCGTTGTGTTAAGCATTAGGTGGTCTATCTAGGATGTAGTGTTCAGCAGGCTGACCGCTGAGGGAAAGAAACTGTTCCTGAGTCTGCTGGTGGGACAGCGAAGACCCCCGAAGGGAGAGGAGTGTTTGATGATGCTTCTCACTCTGCTTAGGCTGCGTTTGTGCTAAACGTCTTTGATGGAGGGTAGCTTGACACCAGTGCAACGGTAAAAACACACTCAGAGTTCTAAAGCAGAAAATCATATTGTGCATGTTTGAGTCACATTATGTGGCAATATAAAGGATCCGCCGGTTTGAGTGTGAAATGCCTGTAAATGAGCGACAGGCTGGTGAAAGTTCAGAATGGAGTCAGGCTTTAACCAGCTAGTTATGAGCTCGTGATGTTCTCATGCCATCTTTGTGTCAATTGAAATAAAAGTGTTTAATGAATAAGTTGACATCTTCAGCTGAGATGTTTCAGACTAGGTTAAAGCTTTCTTCCTTCTGTGGAGCACAAAAGAAGATATTTTGAGAAATGTTTTTGCTCATATGATGAAAGTCAATGGGGTCCATGCTGTTTGGTTCTTTAAATGATCTTCTTTTGTGTTCAACAGAAGAGAGAAAGTCACAGAGGTTAGAATGCTGGTTTTGTCTCATCAGGCCGTTAGGAAGCATTTATCAATCTATATCTCATACTAGCTTCTGATTGGAGGGTTTGATCATGTGACTGCAGATGTCTAGACTAGAGGAACATCAGACAAAGATCTGTGCTTGTGTCGTAATGTTCATGTGTGAGTTTATTTTTCTCTTTAAATTCAGTGAGAACCTCTGGATCCGAAACCCTTGTGTTCTTCATACTTCATACACAACTTTCTGCATTTACTATGGGAAATGGCGGCATTTTCTTGTGCAGCATACGGTTTCTTCTCGTGTGATTTTGGGCTGAGATCACGCGTGTGATCACACACTCACAGATCTCTCGTGTTCCTCAGGATCCAGGAGTTTAAGGCAGCTCTGAGCGACCAGAAGATTGATCTCAAGGCTTTGCGTGAGCTCTGCTTCAGCGGTAGGTCCTGTGTGTGTGTGCGTGCGTGCGTGCGTGAGTGAGTGAGTGAGTGAGTGAGTGAGTGAGTGAGTGAGTGAGTGAGTGAGTGAGTGCACACACACACACTAACAGACACACGCACACTCACTCACTCACACACAGACACACGCACACTCACACACTCACACACACACACACTCACTCACACACAGACACACACACACTCACACACACACACACACACACACACACACACACACACACACACACACACACACACACA